AGGAGCGGCCGGAAGGGCGTTGCAGCATTGGCCGAAGTGCCACACAACCCTCATACCTTTGGCCTGGGTTATCTGCCCACCAAAGAGGACTGGGTGAGGAAGGGTAAAGAGATGGCTGGGAGAGCCAGAGCAAAGAAGGCTGGGAAGCCTTTTGAGTTAATGCATCGGCCCATTCGGGGCACCCTAAACGGACGCTTCATCCGGGAGGGGAAAGACTTTCCGTTTTGCGGCTTCCCAGAGCCGTGGCTAAACGCGGAGAAGAAGCGCGTGCCAGGTTTCGAGATCTTCTTCGACCTGCAACTACTCGGGGATGACATTGTCGAAGAGCAGACAGACCCATCAACTGAGGTTGGGCAGTGTAAGGCAGTGGATTCCGAGAGCACCGAACTTGAGATGGGGGTAGCACTGGCATGTCTACTTTCAGATCCTTCGATAGACCAAAGGTGCTTGGGGGATAACTCCTCGGTTTCCATGATTGGGAATGGAACAGCTGCGGGCCTACCAGCAACTATTTTGGATGCATCTATCGCACCCTCTCTCACTTGGCAGTACGAGGAGGGATTTTTGTCCAGCAGTGGAACTAAAAAGTTAACATTGTCATTAAAAAAATAAAATAGATTAAAAAATTAATAAAACAAAACGTCAATTCAAACTATAATCATTTTATTTTTTCTTTTACAAAAGTTAAAAAAATCAAAAAGTCTATTCCCAACGAGATTTTTTAGCCCTACACTAAAATAGTCAAAAAATTTAAAAATCAAAAAATCAAAATACGAACTCACATCCCAAACGGAGCCATAATAAGAGGATCCTCTGATGATACGAACCACTAGATAGAAATCACTCTTGAAAGGTGGTAGAACCAATAAATCGATCCAATCTTGTTCAAATTGTCATTTTGGCTAAATTTTTATTAATTTCGGTTCCTGTTTTTGGTTCTAAAGATTTGGTTACAGTATCAAACCGAACCATGATATATTAGTTTATTATTATTTATATAAAAAAAAAAAAAAATCATAAGATTTGAATACTAATATTGATGGTAAAATTGACAAATTCTAATCAACTGAACGAAATTAATTATTAATAATTTGTTTACTAATATAAAATATATATAATGTTTATTGTTATATAGAATTTTTAAAAATCATAAAATCAAATTGAACCAAATCAGTTTCTATGATTGGCTTCTTGTCTGGTTCCATAAATTTAATGATTAATTTTTTTAGAATTTTAGGAACTGGTCAGATTTTGTTCTTGATTTACTTTAAAACTGGACAATCCAATTTATGAACAAGAATAGTTGATATCGTGAGATCTAAGAAAAGAAGTGGAAAATAGAATGTTAAACATACAGAAGAGTCTCCGGTGACCGCAGAGAGGAAGAAGAAGACGGCGATCACTCAACATCTCCCTCTACTCTTATTTGTGTTTTTTATTTTGGTTTTGTTTTATCTCTCACTATACAATGCAGTTATTATTATTAGGGAGGATGGAGGATGGATAGATGGAATATAGCAAATCAGCTGTTGTGACATTTCAAAACATATTTACTTAATTTTGGAAAAAAAAAATATATATATATATATAATTATAACATTTTTTAGGCCATAGTAAAATATAAGGAACTTGCGCATAGTGCTTCAAGAAATCTCATGGGAAGTGTGGTGCCATGTGGTACCATGTGGTATGTTGCACAGTGCAGCATCGTGTAGCATAGTGCTGCATAGTAACGGTCTTCTCACCTATAAATAGGTGAGTTGTATTGTAATAAAATCACAAGAATAACAAATGAGGGATATCTGAGAGAGTCAGTCGAAGTTAGAAATAAAAGTAAAGGATCAAGAAATGATTGTATCAGAGTATGCAGCAGAAACCAAAAGATAATTTTCTAAATCAATTTCGATGACGAAATTTTAAAAAGAGAGAAGAGTGTGTCATCCCAAAATATATTTACTTAATCTTTGAAAAAAAAATGTAACTACAATATTTTTTGGGTCATAGTATAATATAGAGAACTTGTGCATAACGCTTCAAGAACTTAGGTCGTGACACACCCTCTTCTATTTTAGAATAATAAAGCAATATATAAAACTAAACAGAAAATTGGACACCAAAAATAAATTGATGAATATATATATATATATATATATGTATTTTGAAGTTGATCAACAAATTTTATAACATCTTATTTATTTCTGTGTTTTTTTTTATGTCATCTTATAATTTTCTTTTATCTATTTATATTTTTTGTGTTTGGTTTTTGTATTTTTAGACTTATGTAATTTTTAGAATTTTTTAATAGCGAAGATGTCATCCTAGTGACATGTTTATTTTTGATAATTTTGTGTATATAGATTAACTCAAATGTGACATGTTTATTTTTTGATAATTTTGTGTATATAGATTAACTCAAATTTGAGAATTTTAATTTGCATATTTTTTGAAATAATTTGTAATTTAGAAGCTCAAGAAAAATGGGCATTAGATGTGATTAATAACATCTGATACTGAATTTATTGAGTCTAGATTTGTTAAAGTTGAAAATCTCAATTTCACGGTGAAGTTAACTTATTATTGAATAAATTTGGATTTGCTTCGACAATCTAAACCGTTCATCTTTTACAACTAATTGAAAAAATTATCAATCAAGTTGTTTCAATAACGATTGTCATACTATTTGTCACACCTAGATGTCAACACTATTAAATCATTTTTAATCCATAAGACTTGCATTTTTTAAGAATAAACCATTCATGTATTATAATATATATGATTTTATCAACCTAATTTTTTATATGTATGTTCTTATTAATTTCAACTTGTCACATGAGATAAACAGTTTAGGTCATTAACAAAAGTAATTCTACGAGGCGCTAACTTCACCCATAAAATTGAGATCATTAACTTTAACAAATCCAATCTCGAATTTATCAAAGTGAAACAATCTTTATTCACATTCTCTATCTTTTTTCCCTTTTAATAATAAATCATGGAAAGTAATTTGTAAAACACAAAGGGAAAGACTAGGGAAAATCTGTAACACCTCTCAATAATTCTTTCCACAGCCAGACCACACTTCTGGCAATTATTCTCTCTTTATTCTTTTTTGGAGGATGTAAAAAGTCGGCAAGTTTGTACTCTCTCTCTCTCTATATATATTTTTTTATTTTTTAAAAAAAATATATTATAAGTGTAAGAGTAATGTTATACATAATGATATGAGTCACTATTAATCTTTCATTTTAAAATAAAATATTATTAAAAATGAATTATTAATAAATTTATTTGTAATAATGATATTGTTATATTATTCTTATCAAGTTTTTTATGTAAATTTTATATAAGAACAGAATTTTCAGAAATTGTAATTCAGAGAAGAGAAGAAATAAACCCTAATTGCTGATCAATTAACAGTTAGCATGCTCGATCTTTATTTTTCAAATTATTATTTATATTTAGTTAAATTAAAAGTAGAGTAAAATAAAAGAAAAAAGTACCCACAATCCACACATTATGGCTTTACACATGAGGAAGATAAAATTTAAAAAAAAAAAAAAACGGATATTTACCATATTTTTCACATTACAAGAGTTAGATACAAAGACAGATCCAGAATTTTAACATAGGATAGGCGAACATATATGCTAATAAAAAATTTAAAAGAAAAATGTAAATTACAATATCGATTTCTACTTGAATAAATGTGAAAAATATTATGAAAAACATACATAAATAAAATATTTTCTTATATTCATGTTGAGTTTTAGAAAATAGAAATTGTAAGACAATCTACGAACCTTAACTGTGAAATATCTTTTTTGTTTGTTTGTTATATTTTGTTCAAATTGTTAAATTTTATAAATTTGACAATTTAAATTATAAAATTTACTTACAATTTATGCACGGCCCAAGCCACTTAATTGTGCTTATATATATAGATCATGTTTGTTTGGCTCTTTGAAGAGAGAGATAAGGCTAATAATCTATGAGACCCATCTATAGAGTTTTTGATTAGGTACATGAGTGAAGGGATTTTTCCCTTAAACAAGTAATCCCCCCCTTAGTAAGACTACCAATCCTAGTGGGGTTAGGATTAAAAATTGAGTGAAGCAATTAGTAAGTTTTTAAATAATTTTTAAGCAAAATTTACATTTTTTACAAAATAATAATAATAATAATTATTATTATTATTATAATATAAAAAAAATACTAAAATTAAAAAATATTAATTTTATATATTAATACTATCACTAGTATTACTAATCCGATAGTGTATAAACAAACATTTTTTATCTTATATCTCCAATACAATACCACCACATTAATAAACTTCTCACTAATCACATTGTACTCTTAGGCCATGTTTGTTTGGGTGGACATGAGCTTGGAATTAGACTAATAGTCCAATAAAATTATTAATCTGATATTTGGTTAAACAATTGAAGTACGGACTAATTATTTTAAACTTGACTATTAGTTAAGATAGGATACAAAATCCAACCGATTCGTAGTCCTAGGACTATTAGTCATGGGAATACTAATCCAGTCCGTCCAAACAAACATGGCCTTAATCTCCTCTATCCTATAGAGTCAAACAAACGTAGCTAAAGTGCCATCCCGATGTTATGCTGATACGTTTTTATATGTAACGAAAGGATCCAAGTCAAATCACTTTTCTGTACAATATATATATATATATATATATACAATTTTTCTTTTTAGATAACATTAAGAATTATCTCAATAATCATTATGTTTCAAAGTAAAAGACTTTTTTTTACCTTATATCTCCAATACAATACCACCACATTAATAAACTTCTCACTAATCACATTGTACTTTTAATCCCTTCTATCCTATAGAGCCAAACAAACGTAGCTAAAGTGCCATCCCGATGTTATGCTGATACGTTTTTATATGTAACGAAAGGATCCAAGTCAAATCACTTTTCTGTACAATATATATATACAATTTTTCTTTTTAGATAACATTAACAATTATCTCAATAATCATTATGTTTCAAAGTAAAAGACTTTAAGTTAATTCATATACAAAAACTACACAAATTCTTTCTCAATCACATGATAAATCTCTTTAGCTCAAGATCATGTCCTAAAACTAGGACCCAAGGGATTCTTCGCTACCCACAAATCTACACAAATTTATCCAGCAAACAATCCATACAAACCAATAGTTAGAGCCAGCTAACAAATAGCGACACGCTTTAGATTTTGAAGTGAATTGTATTATTTACAGTCATATATGCCAACACTTGAACCATTGAGAAAATAATCAAAAGTGAGGTCTAAACAACTTGCCATTTTTTAGATGATGATGATGGTGGTAGAGTCAAGAGTACACCAGCATCAACCAACTTCTTTATGTTTACATCAAATTTGCATCTTCTGTCTGTCTCTGAGAGAGAGAGAGAGAGAGAGAGAGAGAGAGAGAGAGTGTTTCAAACACTGTTAATATAATAATTATGGAGGCAATGGGTAGACAGTTTGCTTCACTCTCTGAATCTTAACAGAGTTCACAAGCAAGCATAGACGTTGACAAACATTAATAGAAGGGTAAATTACACTGACCACCTTTGAAATTTTAAAAAAATAGAATGAGCCCCTATAGTGATGAAATGGTGACAGAATGTATGCTATTAATTGTATACATATCACTATATGCACATTTGATTTCAGTCAATAAATGGTAAAATAAGAATTTCATTACATAGTTCACTGAAATCATGATCAAACTATTGTAAAGACTAACGTTTGACTAATAAAATGGAGGTAAGTGTTTTTCAATTATAAACCTTGAAGAAGCACAGCGTAATATTATGCCAAATTAGTCACTCCTCCAAAGCCTCGAGGGAGGTCAATGTAGTTTACCCTTCAACAAAATACTGGGAACCAATACAGTGGGTTTTAGTTATTGCAACTTACCTTACCTTTATTTATGTGCTGGAGCTGCCAAGATCAAAGTCCATCGTGTAATCATATTCAATAGTTGGAATCACAGAGGCCACAAATTTCAAGAACAAGAAAAGGTACCTATAAAAGTCAAAGAGTCTGAGAATAAAATTTATATAGGGAAAAGAACTTAGAAAGTAGAAAATAAAATTCAATATAAAAGCTAAACCTTGACAGGAATTAATATATAAGAAATTATAATTGAAAGATTTTGTCAGAAACTCTGACGGGGGTTTAAGATTTAAACCCAATCCCAGGTGAAGTAGGGACTCAATCCCAGGTCTTTAATACCACCATCAAGCCAGTTTACCTGCTAAGCTATATGGCACCTCTTCGAAGGGGCTTATTGTTTGATACAACACTATTAACCATGGACCATTTAGTGTTATCTAGCCTTCTTCAATTTCGTGACCACTTTTGTTGAATTACTTGTACAATTCTGTCACCCACACAACACCCTGCCTTGAAACTCCTGCCCAACCCCAAGTTTTAGGTCTACTGGATGGGTCAGCTTGAGATTAAGATTGTAGTTCTAAATACAAGTCCTCAACAACCCAATTTGACAAACTGCTTAACTCGATTCTTAAAAGCAGGTAGAACTGAATCAAAAGTGCTTGTGTGTGATATGGTAAAGAAAATTACTTGTCAACTTCCGGCTCAACTCCACGGGACATTAGAACATCAATAATTTTCTTCATCACAGCACCATGTCGGCATGGATGCACAGACGCATGTTTCCCAGGCAAGTGTGGATGGTCTTCAATAGTTACCTAAGTCCAACAAGGTTTAGAGTAAATGATAAATTGTCCAAAAAATATAGGTAACTAATCAAAAGCAAACATAGCACAAAAGTTAAGAATTGATAGCCAAAATAGATCTTTTTTCCCTAGCCTGAAATTGCCAGAAGAAATTACTTGAAACAAGTGAACAAAAAGATATTACACGCTCAAGCTAGTTGTGCAATTATCAATCAATGTATAATCACAAGATGAACAAGATATGTTTTGCACAGCCTGTCAAACCCTTGGCACAAAGATTAAAAATAGTCATGAGGTGTACCAAAATTGCCGAAGAACAAGATGGGAAGACCAAGGCAACCTCTAAAGGCTCAAGAAGGGGGCAAAGCTTTGTAGAATTTACATATCCTGTTAGCCAAAAGTACACTCCTACAACACCAAAAATGCATGACTGACACAAGGATCTTATATAGCAGGGAAGCAATTGGTACATAGGGAGTCATTGGTTGGTAGTTGGGGAAATAAATAAATCTGTCACATAGAAACCCATTTCCTAACCTATTTCCATGAGATTAAGAATGCTTTTGGGGGTTCCTAACACACCCATTAAGGTACCTCAGACTCAGGTCAATCTGGACCAATTTCTTCCCATCATTGACAGGAAACCTCATCAGCACGACTTATGAATATACCTCAGCCAAAGGTAATTACAAATCATCCTCCAGACTGACAATCAGAAAACAAAAACAAGCTTCCTACATTACAGAAATAATGCAGGGGTGTTTGGGATGGGCTAAAATAGCCCATCCCGGGCTAAAATAGCTAATAAAACAAAACACCCCATCACATCTCTCTCTACTTTTTTGCATGTCTTTTCGTAAAGAGCCAAATAGCCAACTAAAATAGCCTATTCCCAAACGGATAATTTGTATATCTAGATAACATTGCTCACAAATGGACCTTCAATTGGCAAAATATAAGATTCATTCGAATTAAAAGCCACATTTGGTAATAATTGTTAAGAAATTACAATTTTCTGCTCACCGTTTTACGTGCATGGTCTTGGCTAACATCTTCAAGTACAAGCTCTGGTTGTAAAAGCATCCTTGACTGCATGGTAAACCAAACGACTGCTCAGCAGATATAATATACACATTTCATTAATTAGTTCAATTGCATTACAAGGTTGAAAATTAGTTATGTAAGATAACTTTTCCATAGCAAATTATTCTCGATTTTCCAGAGCAGCCGTACTAAGTAATAAAATTATGTTTCCCAACAGTTCTTTCTGTTTGAAAGTTTCAAGTATTTGAGCATGGTGCCTCGCGAATAGCAATGGTACAGCATTTGCTCTTAGTTTTGCAGTAAAGGGAAAAAAGAAAGTACTATTAGTGTAACGAACCTCATCATATCCAGTTAGCCATACACGTGGAGTTTGATAATACTTGTCATACCTGAAAAGAAACCAAAAAAAAAACATGACAATAGAATGTAAAAAACCACATGACAATAGTAGAGAGAGCACTAGATTTTAATCAATGTGGACTCGTGAACAAAATCCACTATCAACAGGGTCTGCATGATATAATTTAACTTACGTTATGCTGACATCATATGTTCTGGTTCGTAGAATATTGTCATCATCAGGTTCATGAGCCACAAGATATGTAGATTGAAGTGTTGCCTGCATTAAGCAGGTACGTAAATCACAATTATCAAACCTTCAACAGTAGATTGAACAACATTAAAGTACATCCTCTAGGGGCATTAAACCCAAATACCAAAAACCGATAAAAAATTGTTTTATTTTCAGTCTATCAATTAAAATTCCTGTTCATGTGAAACTTCAACATGCAGCTGACCACTGACCTATAATGCAGCCATCTCATACAAATCATATACCTAAACTCAAAACCTTAGATTTTTCATCACTCCTCATAAGAGATTGATGTGTTTTTCAAAAGAGGAAAAAATAACAGTTGATATTCTCCATCTATATTTCCTGCACAGTTTCAACATAGGCATATATATATATATATATATTATTTGCACGAGGCACACATGCATATCATTTGATTCTTTATTGCCAAGTCATAGACCAAATTTGCTACTATATTCATCTCTCGTCCAATGAAAACTGCTTTATATTAATATATTGTGATAGATGCACCATTTGATTTGATTAAGGGAAAGAATAATGGAGCAAAACAAGCAAATATCCAAAGACTAATGAGGCATCAAAAGTGGCTAGCTTTCTAATTCTTTTACCAGCTTCATGAACAAATAGTTTTGCTTCACTCCATACCCAGGGTGATGCAAAGGGCTACCTCCTATTCATAATATCAAGCTGAAAAACCAGGGGCCCTAAGAAGCATGGACACAGACACGGACACGTGAATCGCGACACAACACAAAATGACACAGACATGCCAACACGTCAATTTTCAAAAAATGCAGGACACGACATACGGAGGACACACATAAAATATAAAATTGTATATATTTATTATATGTGATATATATAAATATATCATTCAAAGATAATAAAAATGCAATATGACACTAATTCTTATTAATTTATATGATTTTTGTTTTATTATTGCGTCTTAAGTTATTTTGTTCAAACTTATAATTAGTTTCATCTGTGTCTAATCGATAAAGACACGTACATGTGTCCTCCATGTGTCAAAGAGTGTCAGGGTCCTTAAAAAAAATTAAAAAATATGACGTGTTTTGAAGAGTGTCGGTGTCCAGGTCCTTAAAAAAAATTAAAAAATAGGACGCGTTTTGAAAAGTGTCGGACATGTGTCGGAAAAGTGTCCAAAGAGTGCCGGTGTCCGACATGGATATGACACGGATACGTCACCTTCTTAGCATAACTAAAAGCTGCGATAGAGGAAGTAGAAATCTTTATTCTCTGCCATTGGCCAGGAGGCAGAATTAAGCAAAGACCATTATGGAAGACAATTTTAAGATGTCAGAAGTTCAAAGGAATCTGCCTTCTGCCACCAGAAACAAGACCTTTTATTGAAGTACTCATAAAGCTATAATAGTAAAGGATTTGAATGCTCAACCTTGTTATTATGGAATAATTTACCACTTGAGTCTACATGAATGTTTGATTGGAAAAGTGTCCAAAGAGTGTCGGTGTCCAGGTCTTTAAAAAAAATTAAAAAATAGGACGCGTTTTGAAAAGTGTCGGACATGTGTCGGAAAAGTGTCCAAAGAGTGCCAGTGTCCGACATGGATATGACACGGATACGTCACCTTCTTAGCATAACTAAAAGCTGCGATAGAGGAAGTAGAAATCTTTATTCTCTGCCATTGGCCAGGAGGCAGAATTAAGCAAAGACCTTCATGGAAGACAATTTTAAGATGTCAGAAGTTCAAAGGAATCAGCCTTCTGCCACCAGAAACAAGACCTTTTATTGAAGTACTCATAAAGCTATAATAGTAAAGGATTTGAATGCTCAAGCTTGTTATTATGGAATAATTTACCACTTGAGCCCACATGAATGTTCGATTCAAAGAAGAAGAGTTGGCAGAGATTTTTATTATGGTCTTGCTTTTTCCTTCACCTAACATGTCTTCAAATTAGTAATTAAGGCCCTGTTCGGTAATATTTTCAAAACTTTTGTTTTGATTTTTCATTTCTTTGGAACTTGGAAGCTTCAATTGTGTGCAAAATATTTATTACTCTAAAAGAAGATGCACTTACAGGATCTGTTTCAATAAGGTTGTCAGGTTCCTCGTATTCAGCCATGTCTGGTATATCTTCCTCCTCCTCACCACCAAAGTATGAAGAGATCGACTGAATGGTATTTTTCTTGCTGATCTCTAAAGTTTCCATGGAAGGCAAGTTTTCTTCCTCATCACATTTGTTTTCTACACAATGAAAAGCATAAAATGTCAAACAACGTAAACTTAATTTCTGATTATCAGGATTCAACAAACAACATACCTTTTGGTTTACCATGAGTTGCCAACCAACCATCATTATCCTCATTATCAAGAAGGACTTCGCATCCAGCAGCTTCATATTCTTCTTCCACTGACGCAGCTCTGCGTAGACAAGGAACTAAAAAAAAGGAATTACACTTTGCCATGAGTTGACTCAGATAATGCATAAAAGTTTTAAGCACACTTAAAATAGAAGCACAGCTGCTTCCTATGAAGCACGGACACTTCAAAATAAGTATCGTAGCGGTGTCAGAGACGAGGGTACGCTAGGGACACATACGTTTTATTATTGAAGGGTACACGCCAGGGACACGGTGGGGACACACGTGTCCAAATTTGGACACATCAAGGAACACGAGGACACGTCGAGGGACACGCCATTAATTTTTATTTTATTTTATTTTACTGGGGAAACGTGTGTCCAAATATGGATGATCTATTAATTTATTTAAATGTAGTGGTTTATATATATATATATATTGAATTAATATTAGTTTTTATTAATTTTGATTGTTTGGTAACATAATATTAATCTACACAACAAGTTTATATAAATTAAAAAAAATAAAAATAAAATTAAAAATTTGCCGTGTCCCAGGCTGTGCCTGTGTTCCCATTTTTTTGAAATCATCATGTCCCGTGTCCATGTCTATATCCGTGCTTCATAGGTTGCACTAGTAAAGAACCAAAAAAGAAACTTGTGGACCACAATTTTAATGCACAATTACGCATATGCATCACTAGATAGTTTTGCCAATACCCTAGAGGCCAATAATACAAGATTGTCACCTATGGATAATACAAGGGTTACACATGTATCCTTCCGGATCCGCATGGTCATTGAGCGGTAACATTGTTAGCAAATAAATTTCAACCAAGTTTATGTTCAAATTTCAAATACGGTCAATTAGTTAATGACACACATAGAGCTTATGATAGAATTATTGTAGGTAATCACTTCCTAAATTGATCAACTTGGCCAATTGATGTGTTTAAATAAAACAACATCGTATCATAGCGACGTTATTCAAGATACTCAAGTGACACGTGGAGCCAACGAAAGATAACACTTGTAGAGCCTACAACAAGGATACCACACAGGATGAAATCCAAAGGGTCAATATAGTTAATCAGATATATGATTAATCATATAGCACTATCATTCAAAATTCAAATGGCACTATCATTCAATTTGAAATTCAAATTAAGGATGAGACACTGTTATCACTTGGATGGCCCGCTATAAATATGAGGACCATCACACAAGAGAGGGGATCGAAAAATCAGAAGTGAGAATATTAGAGAAAGAGAGAAAGAAATTAAGAGCCAAAGAAGTAGTTACAAGAAAGAAGTTGAGAGCTTACACTACATTGCAAGCATCTGATACGATGGCGAGCGTTAGGTAAAGCGTTCCAAACCCAACTATTGTATTTTGTATCTAAGGATTCTAAATCCCTACAATTTCAATAAAACATTTCTTTTTCTTAATTTGTCTTCTGTTCATTTTGTTGTTCTTCATTAATCGGATGTCTCATTTAAATAAATACAGATCGGAAATAGGAACATACTATTCAAATAATCAACACTATTTAGTCCAAAAAAATTAAACAATGGACATTTGTAACATGAGTTTTGAAATGTGTTGAAACACTTCATGTTTTGAAATTTGTGTCTACAAACATCACAGATAAACCCTGCGTTGAAACCACACATGCAATATGCATACTGCACACAATCATTGTTATCAGAAAACGTTAACACCCTAGCGATTTACGCTTTGGAAAACACATTCAAAACATGGTATACCTTCGTTCCAAAACGGTAAATTTAGTGATCTAAAGACATAGGGACACGTCCAGGGACACATCGGTGACATGGCAGGCACACACCATTAATTTTATTATTTTAACAATAAACTAAAATTTAGATGGAGTGAAGTTTTGGATTGACAAAATGTAAAACAATGGGTCACAATGTTCATACAACTATGTTGTTGAACGATTAATTTGAAGAACTGTACACTATAATTTAGTGGATGTCAAATTAACAAATCTACTCCTATTGTACCACAATTTACAGCATGTAGCATATCGCATTCCTGTTCCTCATACCAAAACAATCCACCTTCTAGGTAACATAGCATACAAGAAATTATTTCTTTAATCTTCTTCCTATTGGCCAATTTATTTATACCAAAAAGACAAAATTATAAGTTCAACAGAGATGATACCAATAGCAATTAACGAAGTGTTGCTAGTTTTCTCATGATAAAAATGACCCACTGTTATAGGTAATAGTGGTGTATAAAAATTACAGGAGCTTTTACCAACTAAGAAGTACAAACACAGACACATGACATGACATGACATGACACCAAGGTTTTAAAAAGCGGCCGCAACCGTTACGTAACGCCGTTACGTAATGGTTTTGGAGGTTACCGCCACCCGTTACGGCCGCTTTTGCAGTGTGATTGAGATTCACAGGTGTGTCGGCCGTAGCAGCTGCCGTAGCAGTCGTAACGGTGCCATAACAACACAGGGACACGTCGGTGACATGGCAGGCACACACCATTAATTTTATTATTTTAACAATAAACTAAAATTTAGATGGAGTGAAGTTTTGGATTGACAAAATGTAAAACAATGGGTCACAATGTTCATACAACTATGTTGTTGAACGATTAATTTGAAGAACTGTACACTATAATTTAGTGGATGTCAAATTAACAAATCTACTCCTATTGTACCACAATTTACAGCATGTAGCATATCGCATTCCTGTTCCTCATACCAAAACAATCCACTTTCTAGGTAACATAGCATACAAGAAAGTATTTCTTTAATCTTCTTCCTATTGGACAATTTATTTATACCAAAAAGACAAAATTATAAGTTCAACAAAGATGATACCAATAGCAATTAACGAAGTGTTGCTAGTTTTCTGATGATAAAAATGACCCACTGTTATAGGTAATAGCGGTGTATAAAAATTACAGGAGCTTTTACCAACTAAGAAGTACAAACACGGACACATGACATGACACGAACACGCGGACACGCAAATTTTTAAAAAATGTAAGGCACGATACGTTGAAAACACATGCAAAACATATAAATTTAAATATTTATTATATGTCGTATTTTTAAATATTTTATATCAAATTTTAATTTTACCAAATTTATGAACCTTAAGTACGCTATTTAATAAAAAAATTAATTTTTTTTTTGAAAAAAATGGTCCTCAACTTGTCCCAACATGTCTGCAGCGTGTCCTCAACTTGTCCGCAGCGTGTCCCAAGTGTCCTAGTGTGTCCCAAGTTTCCTAGCGTATCTGACTCTCTACAACGTGTCCGGCACGTGTCCGTGTCCGACACGTGTCAGACACCTGTACGTCACCTCCGAAGACGTGTCCGTGCTTTATAGTTTACCAACAAATGAAGATTCTCTAGCTACTGAAACAAGAAAAGAACATAGCAACCATAATGTCATTTACCGTTTCTAGTGATCAAAAATTGTTTTTCAGCAGGTAAATACGACTTCCTCTTGCTTGGCTCACCGGATTCCCTATCCATAAATAGCAAAACAATAAGCTAAGGAAAACAGACCACATATTGACAAAGATCTAGCTGATATCAAAGCATGGTACTTTTGCATATGAAGTTAAGTGGTTTGCTAAAAAATGGAAACAGAAGGAGGAACAGCTGTGCAACACAAATATCCTCAGCTTCTACGTGATTAAAATCCCAAGTAAAGTTAATTAAGTGGCTAGCCTAAATGCATCGCATCAATCTTGAAGCTTTTAACTTATTGTATGGGCTTGTTAACTCCCACCTCATCCAACTTTTGTGGACGAAGGAGAAGAACCACGAAATGGGAAACCAGGATGCTAAGATCACAAATGAAAAGTGGCAATAACAAAAATGTGGAAAAAAAAACTAGCCAAAATTAAAGTTATCTTTGAGCACCAAAAAAAGGATCACCCCATATACCAGGTCCTATTTTTCGAAAGCGCCTAAACTTCACTCACCCATTGGTCTTGCCTTTTGATCTACCGTCCAGCAACCCAAAATAAAAAAAAAAAACAAAAAGCAAAGGCTTCTACGTGATTAAAATCCCAAGTAAGGTTAATTAAGTTGCTAGCCTAAATACATCACATCAATCTTGAAGCTTTTAACTTATTGTATGGGCTTGTTAACTCCCACCTCATCCAACTTTTGTGGACGAAGGAGAAGAACCACGAAATGGGAAACCAGGATGCTAAGATCACAAATGAAAAGTGGCAATAACAAAAATGTGTAAAAAAAAACTAGCCAAAATTAAAGTTATCTTTGAGCACCAAAAAAAGGATCACCCCATATACCAGGTCCTATTTTTTGAAAGCGCCTAAACTTCACTCACCCATTGGTCTTGCCTTTTGATCTACCGTCCAGCAACCCAAAATAAAAAAAAAAACAAAAAGCAAAGCTACTACTGATTAAACCCATTCATTGTCATGAACACCAGTCATGATTGGAAATGGCACTGCCTCTCCTTCCAGTTTCAAGCTAAAGCAACTTCTATTATCCACGGATTTCGCAATTTCTAGGGTCACACAAGTAATGATAACAGGATTTCAAAAAAATTCTTAGACACAGCCAAAGTATTTAAGCTTTCACAAAACCAAGACAAGTTTCAATTGTATAATCACGAAACCAAAACAACTAAAAAAAGATTGTAACTTTAAAAATAAATAAATAAATTGAATAACAAATTTGAAATTCAGAGTAGGACACTGTGAAGCAACCCCAAATTTGCAAGCTAAAAGCTATGTTCTCTGGAAAATAAAACCTAATCAGAAAAAGCCAAACGCAATGAAATTGTTAGAATCGTAGTGTAATAGAGCGTAAATTACCAGGACCAGGTAGGGCATTTGGAGACGAGATTGTCGCCAGCGAGAACAAACTCGGTGATGCTGAGAACGCCTTTCTCTTTGAAGGCAGAGACAGTTCGAGGATTCGTGATCCTCTCGACCGTCCCTTTGAACGCTTCGTGAAGCTTCTGAGACAGAACCATCGAAGAAAAAGAAGAAGATAAACAACACTGAAACCTAAATTTGATGGAAACCCTAGAAATTCAATTCGCGGTTGGAACAGATATCCTGGATTTCACAGGCACGTGATCAGAGCTGTAAAAGGGTTCAGTTGAAGAAATCTGATAATTTCATTCGTTGGAATGGAAGAAGATGGCAGGGAGTAGGGCTGTAAACGATTCGAGTCATGTTCAAGTTGTTTATTAAGAATTAGGAGCCCGATTCAGCTCGAGCTCAAACTTCAAAAATTGAGTTCCAACTTCCAACTTGCTCTTCAAATATTTATTGAATTTAAATTCGGCTCGATCTAGTTCGATCAATAAACAAGTTGAACGAATTTGAAAAAAAAAAAAAATTAATTTAAATTAATTTAGGTATTAAGATAAAAAAATATATATATAAAATTATGAGTAAAATTTATAATAATACTTATATTAATAATAAATTTCATCAATTAAATATATAAATTTATACAAATACCAAATATAAATAAAAAAATAATTTGATATATTATTAATTAAAAATAAATATTAATTTATTTATTTTTATATTCACGAGTCTTATCGAGTCGAGTTTAGTACTACTCGAGGTTGGCTCGATTAATAAACGAGTCTAGAGCTCGTTCATTTAGTAAGCGAGTCGAGGTCAAACGAGCTTTAAAGGAGTCAATCTTGAATTGTTCATGAACAACTCGATTCGTTTGCAGTCCTAATAGGGAGAGAACCCTTGTGCCTTGTTTGGCAGATTAGGTAGGATGAGATTGTTAGTAAGAGGATGCTTAGCGAAGAGATTGTTAATGTGAGGATTATTAGTAAGGGAATTAAGTAAAAGTGTATTTGTTTTGATGATAATATGGAAGATGATTAGTGATAGGATTGTTAAATTATTTTTATAGAAAATAAATAAATAAATTATTTTTATATTAAAAAAAACTAAAACAAATATTAAAACAAACCGGTGCACTTGGTAAAAAAAATAAATTTTTTTATATAAAATAGAGTCAATCACCCTCACTATTTTTCTAATTCTACCTATAATCCAGCTAAGTTAATCCTTTTACTAAAGGGGTTACTAAGCTCCTTGGACTATCAATCAGCCCTCTCATTTCACTACCAAACATGCTATGGTTGGGACCTACAACCATGGCAATCCAATTCAGCCACTCAAGCTGCGAAACAAACATAGCCTTAGGGAATACAACTGGCTTTTTAATTTTTTTTAATTATTTTAGTTTGATTAAAAAAATTATGTTCGGAATAACAGTTGACTTTTTTTAGTTGATTTGATAATTGTAACTAAAAAATAAGATTATTTATTTAGGTCACATTATTTTTCTATATATTTGACTTGGGTCGGCCACTTGTAATTTGGTGGGATATCCTTTATAATCGGCTATCTTGCTTTTCAAATTCCAAATGTTCTTTCTATTACACTTCTAAGTGATGAATATGCTTGGTTGAATTTTTCTTGTGCATTTTGGGGGGAGGGGGGTTGACTATGTTCAAATTCAGCTGGATGATATCTCTCTTCTTTGTAAGGTGCAAAATATCTTTTCATATTTGAATACCCAACATCCACCAAGTAAAAGTCATCTAATTTAAAATTTCAAATATTAATAAAATAAAGTAAGCAATTATAAATGAAAAAATAAATATGAAGATGTGAGTTTGGTGCATCTACTTTTGTGATCAAATAAACAGTTACCTCCTTGTGGTTTTGGAAAATTATAATTAGAATTTGTAATTGTATTTAAGAAGATCCGAGTATCATGTGCACTTCCTTCCCATCCTAGTAAGCAAAATGTGAAACACATATCAAAGTCACATGCGGCTATAATGTTTTGAGTCGCATACCCCTTTCTACCTATTAAACGAGGTTGCTTATTGTAGACTGCCCGGAACTCCGCTCCGCACTCGAGGGCGCAAATCGTGGTTCTAGCTACTACAGTTCGGACTCCTATCACGATTCTGAATCTAATCTCACAAAGTGCAATGTAAGACTGATAAATCACCAAAGAGTCCAAATCCGACAAATCGTTTTAGAAAATCGATTTTAATCAAGAAGTGCCAACATGGACTGCTTTGCTAGATTTCAGAGTTGCCACCTAAATATTTTATTTTGGAAAATTTAGGAAACCCTGACTTGTGCCTAAGGCCACGTATCCGTCATCACCAAAGTTGTCTCGGCTCGGGAACTTGGGTACGAGAGGGGAAGGTCCTGAAATGAGCACCCCCGCTCGCCCGATCAAAGGATCGGCCTCTACTAACATGATATGTTGTTTTTGAAAACACGTGTTCTTATTCCGGTTTATTAGCTAGTTTACTATGTGATGCGCACAACATACAAGTATAGACTCAATCGCAAGAATTGGAACAAAACATCTCATGTTTGTTTTTCGAAAATGATTTGAAAGTGCTACTCGCAAGTAGGTTAAGTAGCGGATTTGCCACCCTCAAGTGGGCTTAGAAAACATGATTTTGCCACTTCAAGTGGGCTTAAAACTCACAATCATCGAGTTGTTCCAATTCAGGCAATCAAACCTCCACCTACAGGCATTCAAGCAGTTATAGCAGTTAAGCACATAGCCTCATGGCAAGCATGCTATCATGGCAGTCACTTACATACATGTAAGGATGCTAAAGCATAAACACTTACAGTGTACTCCGAGCCAAAACAGAAGCTAGTTAGAAATCAATGCATGATCCTAGTTATGTTAAGAATGCCTAATGCAACACATGCAAAATGCAACTAAGATAGGCTCGGCTATTCTAAGATGTCACGTGAATGCAACTAGATAACATGTATTCAAATTGGTATTGAGATACAATGCAGTTAGCATGATGCGCCGAGCCCAGTGCGTGCAAGACAGATGAATGAATGCAAACATGCGAAGCATAAGTATGCTAATTGAAACATGCTCTAAAACTAAGGCTAATTAATCCTACTTAATTTGAATTGACTTTGTCTAATTAATCTGAATCAAATCTTTAAATAAATTCTCATAATGTGCTAAATATTCAAATTAGCCTATTAAACTTGTCAATTTCGGTTCTGAATTCATTTAGGCCTTCAATTTTTTGATTCGAAACAAGTATTCTGATAGATATTCCATAATTTGGATAGACACAAACAAATTAAGCACACAACACACATATAAACTTTCAAATTTCACACATTAATATAAATGCAATAATGATATACATGTGGGGCCGTCACAATCTCTCTTCCTTAGAAAGTTTGGTCCTCCAAACTTAAGTTACCTTCATTCAAAAATAAATGTGGATACCGTTGGCACATTTCATGTCCCTTCTCCCATGTAGCTTCTCTTCCATAGTGTTCTTTCCACTCCATCTTCACCATAGGAATTGATCTATTCCTTAATTGCTTCACTTGTCGATTAATGATCTAAATCAACCATTTTTCGTATTTCATATCATCATCCAAAGCTATTCGGTGTTAATCTATGACATGAAATGGATCTCAAAGATAACCCCGAAGCATTAACATGTGAAACACATTATATACCTGTTCCGTTCCCGGTGGTAAGGCTATTCGATAAGCAACTAGGCCAAGTCTCTCTAAAATCTGAAACGGTCCAATGTATCGAGGAGCCAATTTCCCTCTTCTACCAAACCTCGTCTGCCCTTTCATTAGTGTCACTCTAATAAATACATGATCAGCTACTTCATATTCTAAATCTCTCATTCTCTGATCCGCATAACTTTTCTGTTAGCTCTGAGCAGTCTTTAGCCTTTGTTGTATAATCTTTATTTTTTCAATTATTGCTTGCACAAGTTTCGGTCCATACAAAGCTCTATCCCCAACTTCGGTCTGACAAATCAAAGACCTACACTTTCTTCTATATAGTGCCTCATATTGTGCCATGCTGATACTAGCTTGGAAACTATTATTATATGCAAACTTTGCCAATGGTAAGTAAGTTTCCCAACAGCCTTAAAATTCCAATACACACATACAAAGCATATCTTCTAAAGTTTGGATGGTTCTCTCGGTTTGCCCATCGGTTTGCGGATGAAAGGAGGTACTAAACCTCAACTTTGTTCTCATTGCCTTCTGAAGACTTTGCCTAATTTTCCATATTCTTTCTACTCAGTGTATCGGCTACGGTATTAGCTTTCCCAAATGGTATTGGATTTGCAAGTCGTAGTCTTTGAAAAACTCTAGCCATCTCCTTTGATGCATATTCAATTCCTTCTGAGTGAAGAAGTATTTCAAGCTTTTGTGATCTGTATATACTTCACATTTCGCCCCATAAAGATAATGACGCCAAATTTTCCAAGCAAAGACAATGGCTGTAAGTTCTAGGTCATGTGTTGGGTAATTATTTTTATGTGTTTCAATTGCCGAGATCCATAAGCAATTACCTTACCATTCTGCATTAAAACACAATCCAAGCCCTTATAAGAAGCATCACTAATAACAAACAACTCTGTACCTAATGGCAATGTAAGAATCGATGCCGTGGTTAACTCTTGAAATGCGGACTCTCTTTGGTCTGTTCATTCAAATGGTTCTCATTTTCGAGTAACTTGAGTGAGCAGCACAACTATCTTTGACAAATCTTTCACAAATCTTCTATAGTAACATGCCAAACCCATAAAACTCTATATCTCTGTTACATTAGTTGGAGTAGGCCAATTCACAATTGTCTCAATTTTCTGTGGGCCAACGGATATACCATGTCTATTAATAACATGCCCCCAAGAAAGTAATTTCATCTAACTAAAACTCACATTTCTTAAGTTTTCAATACAATTGTTTCTCCCTAAGTGTTTGGAGAATTGTTCTCAAATGCTGTTCATAGTCTTCTCACAACTACAAATTCATGCAAAAATGGTTTGAAAATCTGATTCATTAAGTCTATAAAAGCCGCCGGTGCATTTGTAACTCCAAATGGCATGACTAAAAATTTATAATGTCCGTTGGCATTAACTTTCAACTAATGATATCCATATATCAAATCAATCTTGGAGAACACTTGAGTTCCCTATAACTGATCAAACAAGCAAATGATATTTATTCTTGACTGTTACCTTATTTAACTATCGATAGTCAATGCACAAACGAAGTGTTCCATCATTCGTTTTCACAAACAACATTGGTGCGCTCCACAGGGATGTGCTAGAACGGACAAACCCTTATCAAGCAATTCCTGCAATTGAATTTTCAGTTCTTTCATTTCAGTGGTTGACTGTAGACGCGCCCCAAACGTCCCGGGCTCCGCGCACGAAATGTGGGCGCGAAATCCCATTTTGTTCAT